GTATAACAATTATTTTAAATTAAATACATCCTTCTTCTGTATAATTAAATTCATTCAAATTAATTAATTGTATCTTCCTTATAGTACTATTAAATATGTTTCCAAACAATATAAAACATTAGATTCAATCTTTTTTAAAAAGTTTTTTTTTTACTGAAAAAAAACTTAGTTATCTCTTTTTTAATAATTTGGTTAAAACAGTCAACTAATTTATAAATATTCTTTTTCTTTTAATAAGATAATTAATTAAATTACTAAATTATTTTATTTATATTTTCATAAATAAAAGTTGTCTTTATTTAAATTTAATATTTTTTTCTTATTAGAATCTTTTTCTTACTTTGTTTTTATTCTTAAAAGGATATAATTATAATGTGAGACTATGATTGGTTTAAGTTGACATAGAATCCTTTTTATACAAATAAATGTTAAAATCAATAAATTGACATCAGATAAATCTCTAATTTAAAATTTATCAAATAAGTAAATATCACACAATTAATCAAACCAATTACATAGATTTATAATATATATAACGAACAGGTTGAAGTAACTTAAAACAAAATTAAGCAATATATATTTTCATATTTAACTACAAACAATATAATTATATATTTTTCATATATACCCAAATTAAATAAAATTAAAACTACTTATCAATAAAAATATTAAAATCTATTAATTTTGTAAACTAGATTGTTAAAAAACATTTTCGTGTTTTAAGTGCATGTCAAAATGTAGTTAAGTTTTATTTTTTTCTTTTTCATGTTAACACTTGTAAGGTGTATTATAATTCAGATTTATGTTAAAAAAAAATTGACCTTCTTTCGCAGATTTGTGGTTTTCTGATCAAACTAGATGGTATGTGAATTGTGTTTGTAAATGTAGTGTTTGTTATGCCCTTTTACAAAAAAAAAGTGTAGGTTTGTTCAAAATAAAAGGATAACTACTAAACTGCTTGTGGATTGGTTAAGTCTTGACTGGTTAGAAATTTACTATACTGCTTATGGGCTTTTAACATATATTATATAAAGTTAATAGACTTTTGAGCTGGATTTCTCAATCTCATAACCGAGAAGCGAAAGCAAAAATGTGGCGAGTAGTTGATTGCAAATTTGCAAAGAGCCCAAAGCATGTACTGTAGCTTTCATTTCATATGATATTTGTCAAATAAGAATCTTTAACTCCAAGTCTAATAACAAGATAATGATGTTTGAATGCTGCAGTGCTAAAATTGCAAGAGATTTTGCTATAGAAACTGACAAAAGAAGATTTAGCATAAAAATATCATTTTAATTAGTAAAGACAATATAAATTAGTAAAGAAATCTGGTTACCAAGAGATGTAGGAGGAAGAGTGACTGCAAAGTAGAAATAAAAGATGATTTTGAATTAGCATGCCACCAACCAACTCAGCATTCTTTCCTTACAAGACTTCCAATCTTTGTACCATGTGAAACTTACTTTATAACTTATACAACAAATATATTTATGGTTATGTTTGTGAGTGTGTGTCTGTTTTTCTTAGCTCATTAATTTGTTTACTAACAAGCTTTTTAACTTTTCAACTCAAAACCTTATTAGTCAATGAATGAATCTTTTTTTTGAAAGAATGTCAAATTAATTCACCCAAAATAAAACCTTTTTACAACTAGTGTTGGTTGTGTTTGAAATGAAAGACAAACTCTATCTATCTTTTACAGCATGTTTAAAATTATCTAAGAGAGAACCATGTTGTCATTGGCCTTCCTATAGACTGAATCTTCTTTTATTGGCATGCTTGAGATTCGGTTTCTGACTTTCTTATCAATGATCTTGACGCCTGCTGCTGATTGATGCCTTCTCCAATTTTTTTCCTATAGACTGAATCTTGTTATTCCATATGTGTTATATCAAATCCAAATGTTTTATGTGAGGTTTCTAATATCATTCTTCAAAATAATGGTTCTTATAAATCATTTATGTCAGTAAAATTCTGGTATAAAGTTAATTTGGATCAGATTAATATTGGTTTAGATAATCAAAATCTTTGTGTGTTCAGGATATGTATCAAACTTCAAATTGTTTGATAATGAGTGTATTGGTTTTAATTAAATGTGAGACTGCGCAAAAATAATACATTTGAAGTTAGGAAAAAAGTTTCTTAGCTACACGAAGTTTACACTAATATGGTGGAAACCATCCAATGTATAAAAATGTGTCAAGAACTACACGAAGTATATGTTAATACATACCACATATACGAAGTAAATGATATTATGGTGGCAACATCATAATCGAGTTTAATTGATCTTAAATTAAGTTAATGGGGTCAATCCGTAATTTATGAAACTTAACAAAATTAATTAATTTTAATTATTAAAGTTAATAAAATAATAAACTTAATAAACATAATATTTTTTTAAAAATATGATAAAATTAATAAACATAATATTTTTAAAAAAAAATTTGATAAAGTTAATAAACATAATATTTTAAAAAAACTTTTAAAAATTATTAAACTTAATAAATTCTTAAACTTAATAAAATTATTAAACTTCATAAACTTAATAAACTTAACAAACTTAATAACTTATAAAATTAATAAGTTATTAAACTTAATATACTTAGCAAACTTAATAAACATAATAATTTAATAAATCTATTAAATTATTAAACTTATTAAACTTAATAAATTTATTAAATTATTTTGTTTATTAGTTTTAGGATTCTAGCTTATTAAACATAATAATTTTTAAAAACTTAATAAATTTTATAAACTTAATAAGATTAATTAAACTTAATAAGATGTATTAAACTTAATAAATCATTAAGTTTATTAAGTTTGTTAAGTATATTAAGTATATTAAGTTTAATAACTTATTAAGTTTATAAGTTATTAAGTTTGTTAAGTTTATTAAGTTTATGAAGTTTAATAATTTTATTAAGTTTAACAAATTTATTAAGTTTAATAAATTTATCAAGTTTAACAAAAAAATATTAAATTTATTAATTTTATTAAGTTTTAAAAAATATTATGTTTATTAAGTTTATTAATTTTTTTAGCTTTAATAATTAAAATCAATTAAGTTTATTAAGTTTCATAAATTACGGATTGACCCCATTAACTTAGCTTAAGAACAATTAAATCCGATTGTGATGTTGCCACCATAATATCATTTACTTGGTACATGTGGCATGTATTAACATATACTTCGTGTAGTTCTTGACACATTTTTATACATTGGATGGTTTCCACCATATTAGTGTAAACTTTGTGTAGCTGGGAAACTTTTTTCCTTTGAAGTTATTATATATAGGGGATGACTGGTAAGTAATATGGCTTTAGAATAATAATTGTAGATTTTATTGTTGTAGCTGTAGATTTTATTACTGTAGATTTATATTAATAATTTTCAAAGCACTAAATGTAAAGCTCTAGAAAAACTGATTTCCAAAGTTATTTTATTTCCTATTTTAATTTTAGGGCTGTAGCTTTAAATTAATTTTCTAAAGTGTGATTGGTATAATAAAGCGGCTGTAGAAAGAAAAGGAGTGGTAGAGAGCACTCACAGCACTTACCAATCATCCCCATAGTCTTTGGATATTTCCAAGTCACTAGTAGAAGTTAAATCCAACAATAATAATAGATAAACAAGTAACGTAATCAATCTTTGTCGGTATTTGCTTTCCAGACACTCCTTTCTCCAAATTAGCCAACTAACTGAAAAATATATACATATACACACCAGTTAGTTTCATACCTCATTGTACTAAAAAAAAAAAAAGAGAAAGAAAGAAACTAAAGGAGAAAAACTTGTGAGGCTCTCAACCAGAGATTGAAGAAGAAGAGTGAAAGAATGGTGGCGAGGATAGTGGTGGTTTTGGCATGTATGGTGGTGATGCTACGGCTGAGCGAAGCGGCGGTGTATAAAGTGGGCGACTCAGCAGGCTGGACAACCATAGCTAACGTGGATTATAAGCTATGGGCTTCAACCAAAACTTTCCACATTGGTGATACTATCTGTGAGTTCCTTAATTTTCTTAACACATTAAGATGACCATATCTTAATCTAAATGTAATGGTTTCGTTTTACTTATGTCGGAAAGCTTGTCCTTAATGCGTAAGTGCGTAAGGTTTAGGTGGAAAGTAAAAGTACCACTCACGCCCTAATCATTATGACTTTTCGTTATTTTCTAACAAAAAAAGGAAAACCATAGAAATTAATATGCTTTCTTTATTTTTAATATGAAAATGTCTTTAAAATGTAACTAATCTTGATTATGACAGTGTTTCAATACAACCCACAATTCCATAACGTGATGAGAGTGACACACGCAATGTACAGAAGCTGCAACAACTCAAACCCAATCTCCACCTTCACCACAGGTAATGACTCAGTCACACTCACCAATCATGGCCACCATTTCTTCTTCTGCGGCGTTCCTGGTCATTGTCAAGCCGGTCAGAAGCTCGACCTCAATGTCATTCATGACTCCTCCAAGCCACTCTCTGATCCACCGATTTCCTCAGATTCCTCCTCCCCCTCTTCTTCTCCGTCCACTACTACGATTCCTGCAGCCGGTGTCCCCGGTCCATCTCCTAGCCACGCTGCTTCTCTCCCACATGTGGCCTCAGCTGTGGTGGCTGCCCTTGTCTCTTGTCTCTTTGTAAATTTTGCTTATTAATTAGGATTATAATATACATTACGTATAAGTTTTTTGTTATATGCCCAAAAATGTTTTTGTTATGATTTCTCCTTTCTACCGTATTGTTCTCATTTTTACCAATTGATTCAAAATGTTGAGACTGTCAATAATAAAAAGAAAAGTGTGTACCAACGATTTAGTTAGTACTTATTTTTTTCATGGTAAAATTTCTTTGAAAATGCTATGTCTAAAAACAAGAAATTTTTTATTTTATTATTGATAACAAACCAGAGAAAATATTATTACAAACCCCATTAAGCATCTTTTTATTCACAAGGTTGTATGGTCAATATGATAAAGACATAGAGATGTTCAAGCGGAAATGACGTTGGTCACAGAGACTTTTACCATTTCAGCTTCAAAGATAATAGCATCATTCACCAAATACCCTTTCGACGCATCCTTTAAATCTGTAAACAGTATGATGTTGTTCACTCCTACACCGTAACCGGTTCGAA